ATTGTAAACTTAATTCACAAAAATATAATGGGGTAATAAACGTAGGAATATAAATTTTTGTATTCGATAAATTTAAAGATAACTAGATATGCACATACTAATAGTCAAATTATACATAAAAATTAATATTATAACATACTAATAATCACTCCGTCTTTTCAATACATAACTTTAACTATCAATAATATACTCTCTCTATCCCCGATTGATAGTCACTTTTGCCATTTTGGTGACTCAAAATGTTAGTCACTGTCAGATAATCTAAACTGCTTGATTAGAGTGATTTTCATTGATCAATATTTATAGGGTTACAATGAGTAACCTAATCATATTAGGTAACTATAAGATATGTATAGATATCAAAGATAATCTTATACAAAATATATCCTAAACCTAGGATGAGAATATTCTATGGATATTCTCTATCACACCCCCGTAGTCGGAGCGGGAGAAAATCGGATGCTCAGACTAGATCTGAATCACGCATCGAGCGGTAAGGATAGTATGGTAACCCATGATCAAAAGAGAAGTAGTAGACATATGCCGGTGATGACGATTAGAAGCAACAGCCACGACCTACGTAGAGTAGAGATAAGCACTGCTAGGTCGGAGGAGAAGGAGAAGAGCCGCACACAGACTTGGGCTAAGTTGCAGATCCAGAGAAGAAGAAGCTAAGGGATCAAACCATCATCGGGAAGAAGACACTACACTACTACGGGAAATCACAGTTGAAGAAAAAACAAATAAGATAGCATAAATCCCACACCACTTAACCACTAGTAAGTGTTTACCTCTAAAAAAAATTGACCTACACAACAAGATAAATTCCACCAAATTAAAACAAGCTAAGTAGCGGTTGGACTTAGAGAATAACAAATTCCACCGCATGTACTTGTGATAATTAAAATTAACAATAAATTGAAAAGGTAAAAAATATAAGTGTTGTTAGTCCCAAAAATCCAAACTCCCTTTAAGTTATTGTAGTGTAGTTGAACAAGGCTCCTGCCAAGTAGAAGGGGTCAGGAGCAAGACTACAATGCAATAAGGTGGTGGAGGCCAACAACGACATTGAGAAAAAAAAAAGACAAACAAAAGGGTGGTTCGTCTCGTGGGTCTGGCTCATCCAAGACTATTATCAGTCATCGGATACGCTATGCAAGATTGCATTTCACTCACAGATTAGGCTAAAGAAGGAAGACTATGAGTGAGCTAGGTGGCGTATTAGGTGGAGAACCAAGAGGTAGAGGTGGTGCACAAAGCTCCTATGTGTGGTGGGAATTAGTTGGAGCACAAGAGGGGTTGCCAGTGATGGTCAACCATCGTACTCCATAATTAAAATGCGGAAGCAAAAAAAAAAAAGTGTGTTTTATGTAATTGTTTGTGAATCTCGCCGGTGGGTTTAATTTTCTAACCCACCGGCAGGGGAAGAGAAAATTTTAGATACAAACAATCCCAAGATCTAATCTAAGTTGTGATACCATGTCAGATATGATTAGAGTGATTTCCATTGATCAATATTTATAGGGTTACAATGAGTAACCTAATCATATTAGGTAACTATAAGATATGTATAGATATCAAAGATAATCTTATACAAAATATATCCTAAACCTAGGATAAGAATATTATATGGATATTCTCTATCAGTCACATTTGCTTTTTTCAATTACCATTAATATTATTTTTTACCAAAATTCTCTAATATTTGCAAAAATATTTGTGTAAATTTAACTTTCCCGTGTAAATTTTACTTTTTTATGAACTTTAATTATTTTCTCTCACCACTTTTTTGCATGCCCAATGTAAATTTACTTTTTCAATGTACTTTATTTAATTCTTCTTAATTCCAGTGATTTTTCTTCAAAAGTGACTATCAACCGGGGATAGAGGGAGTATGTTTTTCTATACATATGACTTGCAAAAGACGGTGAAAAAAAATGTTATGTAAGCAAAATAAAAATTAAAGTAGGTCAAATAAAAAAGAATAGATGAAGTAAAACATAAGGAGATTAGTACTCCGTGTTTAAGAGAGTAATTATAATTTGAAATTGGTAAGTTTGGAAAAGAGAGAAAAAAAATGCCCTCGTCATCCTTTACCACCTCTTGTACAAAGTGGTTGTAGCTTGGTTAAAGTACTAGTTAGGTGGAAAATAGAAAAGGTTAAAAAAAAAAAAAAAAAAACAAACAAACAAAAAGCACTACCTACAAAATAGGTAAGTGAGATACACGCAAATAAAAAGGAGAGTGGCCGCAAATTAAATGTCGGAAAAAATTGATACCGCTGTCCGTATTGAGAAATACAATTGGTATTGCGGCCTAAACCAAGAAAAATAGCCACTTTTTTAAAATTTCCTTTATAAAATTAAAAAAATAATAAATAGTGGGAAAAACAAGGACTAAACGTGTAAACGTATGATAGGGCAGTAGGACTCGGTCAATGGAGCGGTTCAATTCTCTCTCTCATCGCAGGCCATCAGCCTATCAAATCACATCAATTTCGATCCTTCTCACGCGGACTTCTTTCCTCCTTCTGCTGTCTAATTTTTTTTTTAAAAAAAAAAAAAGAAATTTTGATTTATGAGTTTTAATTGCCGACAACTCCTCCCACCGCTCTTCTCTTCTTTACTCTACTCTCTCCACTTCTTTCTTACTTTCGTCAACAGGTCCTAGAGAGTATAAAAAAATGGTAAGTCTTTATAATTTTAAAATTTTGGTTGTACATTTTCCATTATAAATGTCACGTCAAATAAATAAAATGATAAAATTTCCTCTTTAAATGTAAAGGGTTTAGATCAATAACTAATATGATGGTCACAATAAAATAATATTCTACTAAAACTATTTTGTTAATATAAAACCTAAAAATTTTGTCATCAAGGACTTGTGAATAGTCAACTCTGATCATGTAATTTACTCGAATGTTGTATGAGGAAGATAATGAAATAATCTATTAATCATTTATAATAATGAAAATAGTTCAAAAACTTGTATCCATGAGTTATTGGCCCTGATTAGTGCCTTGGTGATAGCGTTTAATGTAGCGGTTAGCGTTTTGACCAGCCAAAAACTACTAGAAAAAATTTAAGAGTGTTTGGCAAAGTAGTGATTCTAGTAGCGGTTAGCAATATAGGGAGCATATAGGTAGCTTTTCTCTAGCATTAAAAATAGTAGCGTTTAGAAGTAGCGGGTAGCGTTTGGTAAGTTTTTATTACTTTTAAAACAATATTTATATGAACTTTGATATATTTTGGTATTGCAACTGCTACTTTTGCAAAGCACTCATACTATCAACCGTTACTTTGACAGCTAACCTCTACCCACTACTAATTGACTGCTACTCGTTATCTTAACAGCTATCCCGCTACTCAACTGCTAAAAGCTACCGCTACCGCTACTATTGCCAAATAGGACCATAATATAGGTTGAGACTGTAATTGGATAAATGAAGAAATAAAATTGGACTTTTATCACTCAATTTAACATGTTTTAACAATTTATTTAACTTATTTCAAGAGTTAAGGAGTATCAGGGTATAAATGAAAATCTTACAAACCTTGTAATTATAAAGAAGAATTTACAATGTCTTTACAAACATTTTTTTTTTACTTATAAATTTTGGACTACATACTCAATAATTGTATTTACATATTAATCTAACTAACTAGATAATTAATCATAAACGACTAAATATTAAATAATTGTAATATTAAAATATGTTTAGTTCACTTACGTTTGCTTATCTGATATAATATGATTTTTTTTTTTAATGTGAACTTAATTTTTATTTTTGATTTAGGGGTTGTTCTTATTGACTGAACTCAGCTTAACTGAATATTTTATAATAGAAGGAAATCAGGAGTTGAACTGAACTGAAAATAATTGTATGAGAACAGACTCTTAATCTGATCTAATTGTGTAATTTGACTAAACTTTAACTATTAATACATAACCTTTATAATTTATTATTGTGAAATAACAATACTAATTATATAAAAAAAATAAAAAAATTGCATTAAACATGGCTTGAGCTTTATTTTTTTATTATATTCTTATTTGATCCATTATCTAATTTGACCAAATTTTGATTGACATTTATTTATAACTAAAGAATAAATCAGGTAGGGTTTTAGTTATTAAAATTGTATTAATATTAATGTATATTTTTCATTCATATAAAATTCATAATTATTTTTCATTCATCGAAATTAAATATATAAACTTTCATAAAAAAAATCTGCTTGTAAAACAATAAAGTATGATTGATTAACTTAATCGTTTTATATTTTTAAAAAAATTGATTAACTTTTAGTTTTGTGGGGGAAAAATAGATTAATACGGCTGTTATGATTTAAACATTAAATAAATTCGAAAGAGAGTAAATCCAAATATTGACCAATTAATAATTCAACATTGACAAATTTCTTCAAACCAAATCAATTGTGTTAAATTGTTACACGGATAGACTAATAATAGATGCAGTTACATTTCTGTTAATTCTCCATAAGTTATGCCAAAAACATGGGATTATTCACACCAAATTTCCCAAATTAAAATGTAAAGACAGAAAAAATAAAGGCAGCAAATTCGTAGCGGCGCATGCGTACAAAACAGTAAAAATTTTGGGACAACAGTAAAACACACGGTAAATAATAAAAAAGACCGTGACTTTAGCATTAAATTAAAAAAAAAAAATCGTAGAGCACGCAACATAAACTGATGCACAAATTGAGCAGACCACCTCACAACACTACCAGACCAAAAGAATCTCCCAACGGCTGTGATTTTATTTCAATCCTAATCAATTAATTAATTAATATTAAATTAAATAAAGCGGAGTTACAGGCGATTGACGGGTTTTAAGAAACAGCCTCCAATGCCACGTAACATATTCAAGCCTATTTCCGTCTTTTCCTTCCTACGTGGGCGGCTAACCAAAGATCAGTCAAATCCCTTGCTGACTGTGCCGCACTCTCTCCTCCTATATAACCACCCCTTCCTCCCTTACCCATTTCTCATCTTTACCTTCCTACTTTTTCCATCCATTTTCCTCCTTCCTTTCTCATTGATAAACAAAACAAAATCACTTAAATTCCCATATTTTAATCATGGCCCCGAAGATTATCGGCGGTGCTGCTGGTGGCGGTATTGGTGTCAAGGTTAATTCGGCTAATGGTGGGGTTAATGTTAAGGAGACCCATTTTAGAGGTGTTCGAAAGCGGCCGTGGGGGAGATACGCCGCCGAGATTCGTGACCCCACGAAGAAGAGCCGTGTCTGGCTCGGAACGTTTGATACTGCTGAGGAGGCCGCGCGTGCTTATGATGATGCTGCACGCGCTTTTCGCGGTGCTAAGGCTAAAACCAATTTCCCACTTCCTTCTGAGATACACAACAACAATACTCCTTTGAATAACCTTAACCACCACCACCACCTCCAACACAACACAAACAATTTGAGTAGTAATAATAACAACAACCGAAGTCCGAGTCAGAGTAGTACTGTTGAGTCCTCTAGCCATGAAAAGCCGGTACCCACGGCGGGGATGATGGTTGAATCTCTACCGTTGGATCTTAATCTCGCCGGGAATTTCGCCGGAGCTACGGCGGTTGGAGTCAGATTTCCGTTTCAACAAGTGAGTGTTGCTCCGGCGCCGGCGGTTGGTTTTCCGGCGAATATGAATCAGTTTTTCTATTTCGACGCCATTGCGAGGCAAAATCAACCTCAACACCACTTTATTCAACAATACAACAACAATAACCAACAACAGTTCATGTTCCATCACGTGCCGGCGAGTAAACGTCACGCGCCGCTGGCGTGCGGTGTTCAGAGCGATTCCGACTCGTCTTCCGTCGTTGATTTGAACCACGATCTTAACAGTGGAACTCCCAGAGGTCTCGAGATCGATCTTAACCAACCTCTACCGTCCGATTTGGCTTGATCCTATTTAATTATTTTTTTGCGCCGCTTTAATTAGTGGTGTTTTTCAGGATCTTAGCTATAATTACGATGGGATGAGAGGAAGAAAAATAAATTTTTTTTTTTAAAAAAAAAAGGAAGTTTTTGTTTTTTTGAATTTCCTCGGTATTATTTTTAGGAAAAAAGAAAAAGAAAAAATGAGGGTGGATACATGGAGCTCCGATTTGGATTTGGATCACCGAATTTTCTGGGGTTTTTTTTGTATAGTTTTTTTTAATTATCGATTTAATTAGATTTAGCTTAATTAAGTATATTACTTAAGTTAAAAGATCCATTTTTGAGGCAGAGAATAGAGAAGAAAGTGATGTAATCTTTGAATTTCGAATTCTCTGTTGTTTCATGAAAAATACAGTGTAATTTTCGTACTATTTTGGATCAGATATAATCGATTACCCATATATAATATTTTAATATTCGATATTAATTGTTCTGTGCATATTTTGATTAATTCTTTTAGGTTTTAAAATTAATTATAGTGGAATGCAAACGGATAAGATTGATGCACGAGTTTTGGATCTTTTTGTTGTTATTAATTGGTAAAAAAAAATAAAATTGGAAAATAAAATAATAATGGAGTAATGTGAGAAGACTGAATAGGTGAGTTTCAATGTAGTAGACTTGCTGACATCTGGCGTCCATACATACTTAATTTTGGAACTATTTGTCTGCATGCTCTGGATTCATTTTTGATTAGTAGTTTAGTACGAACATTCAATTATTATTAATTTTTGAGTAATTTTTAAATTTACTCTAATATAAGTTTTAGAAGTTGCATTTTTTTTACAATCGGTTAGAGTTCCGTTCTCGATTATTAGTGATATCTGATACTGGATCGATTTTCACCTTGCAGCTTTCTAAAAATAGCTTGTTTGTGAACTCTAATTATGAACTCTAAACAAAAGTCAAGCTCTTACTTTCTTTGTTCAAATTTTTCTTGTTACCGTAAATGAGATTATGATAACAGTTATTTAATTAATTGTCAAATTTATTAATTGTACTCCCTCCGTCCCAAAAAGAACGACCTATTTGGCTAAAACTTTGTCCCAAAAAGAATGACCCATTTGCATTAAAACACCACCAATTTGCAACAATATTTGTGTAAAATTAGCTTCTCCATATAAAAATTTCATTTTCCATGTTATTTTATTACTTTCTCTCTCTATTTTTTTTCAAACCCCATGTAAATTTATCTTTCCAATATACTTTTACTTCTTTTTACTTAACTTCCTTAATACCCGCGTAATCAACCCAAATGGGTCGTTCTTTTTGGGACGGAGGGAGTATTAATTACTCCGTACAATTTTGGAATTTATTTTTAATTTTTATAAGTGGTTAAAAAGTTTAAATTAAGAAAGTAAGTTTAAATAATTCCTATAATGTTGCCCTCAGAAAAAATGTTGCCCTCAAAAAAAAAATTCCTGTAATGAGATGATTGGGTTTGCCGTCTAAAAGTATAAAATGGAGTGTCTTAGAGCATTGCGCCTAAATCAACCGACGGTAACGAGATGTATTGTGAAAGCTAAGAAGTCAAAAGGTGAGACTACTAGGAATTAAAAATATATGGATATGTTTGAGTAGGCTTGAAAACTTCTAAGAACAAACAAAAAAAATGAAATTAAGCAGTGACAAAGAAGTGTTGGTCAATTAAGTACATAGAACGTCCTATACTTCTCATTTTAAGTAGTGCTCTTCTTGTGACTTTCCTACAAAGTCTTTTTTGAATAATTTATTTACAGATAATTAGATAATTATTTTCTGATTTGTACTTTGTTTACCATTTTTTTGGTAAATTGTTCAAATGTAGAATAAATCTTAACCCTTTTGAGGTGTGATTGCAAACTTGTAAAATAGAATTGCATAGAAAATACTAAGTAATGATATGGAGTTTACAAGTATCTTTATAAATGTTTTTCAAATCACACATCATTCCTGGTGTTGTTAACAAGACTTGTTTTCTGAGTTTGTGTGATGACAATTGTCAAAGCATATACTTGTTTCTACCAATCATTATATTACAAATCAATTAACTACTTGATATATATATAAAAAATAAATCACCAACTTTTATTTGTGATTGTTCATAGTGGTACTTAATCTATGTTATATAAGAAACTCTACCAGACATCAGTATCATAGAGGTTACTGGGTAAATTTTAACTAGGGGTGAACATGGTCTGGTTTGGTGCGGATTGAGTATAAACCAAACCAAACTGCAAAATATGATTTGGTCAATTTTCCAAACCAAACCAAACCATATTAATATTGAAACCAAACCAAACCGTAATAATGCGGTTTGGTGCGGTTTGGTTTGCGGTTTATGATGAGACGACATTTTTTCCTAAAAAACTGTCAAATATTAATAAATTTATAATAAAGTTCAAATAATTAGCCCAAACGGATTAAATTATACTACAAAGTTTTAATAAAAATAACAACCAACTAATCAAGTGCTAAATAATAAATAACAAATTAACAGTGAAAAAAAACATAATACATTTGTCCAAAAAAAAAAATTCATACTACATTATAGTTTTTAATAATTGGCAGCAACTTGACAACATCAGGAGCTACATTATGCGATATCAATGATTGCTGGAGCTAAACTGATCTTGGAGTATAGTAGTATACATAATTACTGACCGTCTTCTAATGATTTTTCATGTTTTTTTATTATTTTTTACTTTTTAAAAATATATAATAACTATTTTAATTTTTATAAATATTATATAAATATTAAAATGCGGTTTACTGGTTTACGGTTTGATTTGGTTTATAATTTTTGAAAAACCAAACCAAACCGCAAACCATTTTCCCAAAAAATTGAAACCAAACCGTATTTTTTCAAACCGTAAACCAAACCAAACCGCTAAAATGCGGTTTAGTCTGGTTTGATTACGGTCCAGACCAAACTCTGTATAACCCTAATTTTAACTATATGAATTATTTTATTCTTTTACAAGTGACCACATAATTTAGCCTGACAAACATCACACAAAACGCCCCGAGTTATCTTTTGAACGACTATACTCGTTAATTTTTAAACCTTTTACACCAGAAGACCGAAAGTTAGCTGATTATGTATTTGGATTAAGCACACCAATCACTATAGAAGTGACCAATTCGCACAAGATTACGGAATATCTTGATTTTAAATTCATTGTATCTTGTCTAGTATATTTAAATAATTTTAATTTATTTTTTCAGAACAATACAAATCAATTAAAAATTAACATTAGGAGAAGCACCCTGGAAGCTGCTAATAAGTATCTAAAAATTAGGCTACGGAGAAGGACGGTATATTAAAAAAAGCAAATGAATGAAAAATGATAATAATAAAGAAATAATGTATCATGTGAAGAAGACAAATGTAGTTATCAGAGATAGAAAAAATAGACCAATGACTTGTTCAGGTGAGGACTGAGCTCGGTACTAGTGGAAACGCATTAGTGTTAATTAATTATTGGATTTATTTATTTATTAGTGGGAAATGTGAATGCATTTTAGACATTTCTGTTAATACGTTCTTGTCCTTTCATTTTCTTTTACGGAGTTTTTGCTTACACACGAATGCGACTTTACTTTCTTCTACCTTACGCCGTCTTCACATTTCACAACCTACTTCTTCTTCTTCTTCTTTTTTTTTTTTTTTTTTTTTAATGTGTCTGAATATAATTTATTGATTTGACACAAATATGACTTTTTTTTTTCCTAACACGGATTTAATCCTTTAACTTAAGGTTTTATTTACACATACTCTATATTTATTATTGTTAATAAAAGGTAAAAGCTAACGAATGTTCCGAGGACGTTATATAAGCTAGCTAAAAATAGTAAAATTAAATTAATATAAACATTTATTACACTGACCGACGCGTGATTTTATCATGTTTTCTCAAACTAATACTACCATTTTACGTACGGAGTAATATTTTAAAAGTTTATCCAACGTCCCGGGGTGTTCGTTAGCAAGATCTATCCTTAGTAAAATTATATATTGCACAAATCTTGACTTTTAATACTCATACTAGTACAGAGTATTAATTTTCAATATATTGCTTTTCATTTTCTTTTCTTTTTTTTTTATTTTCTTTTTAATGTTGGTACACTATTGTAAAATCCATTGTTCGGATGCCTTAAAAAAAAAAAAGCATATTTACTATTTAGTGTATACTCTGTACGTGAAACACGTTCCTCAATCCAACCAACGTATTTTACCTCAAACGAATGTTTACAATTATGATTTGATATGCCTTCAAAATACAAGTAATAAAGTAAAGCATATGCCAGTATCCAATTCTGTAATGATAATTGCTACTTCATGTAACTTAAAGGTCAAATAATATTCTAAAAAAGAATTTACACAACTTCAAAGTATAAAATGGAGAATTCAATTATCCTTTTAAAAAATACACATACATGGATTAGGTAAATACAATGCATTAATATTAAAGAAGAACCAAAAAAAAAATAAAAAAAAAAGAATCCAAGTAGCTTGTGCATCAACAACAAATCTCGAGGATAATCAAATACGAAAGCGATTGAATTACATAAGCTAAAAAAATAGGGCTGCTTCCAGAACACAGAGAGGTGGCGTGACTACCTTAAAAGGATCATACGCACATTTATAACATTATTTAATTATTACTCATATGTAACATTATTCAATCAGGTCAATTTTGTCCAAATTAATAGGCTAGATAATTTTAAAGTAGGTATAAAAATAAGGAAATTTCCACTTTAAAGTACCCTTTAATAAGGTTTAATTTATTTATTTATTTTTTTGACGGAATAAGGTTTACTTCAATAATCTCTTGGCTATAAAATGCAAACTTTATCACTTGACCAAATAAATAATGTAATTGTATGTTTTAATACACGCTAAAAAACGTGCAAAGTTAGGAAATCATAAAAAATATAAACATTAATTACACTAATTTACCCGTGTTTTTATCATGAATTTATAATTTTATATAAATTTTATAAATGTATTTAATGATTATATATATAACCCTAACTACCCTTAATAATATTACATGATTACTCTTTAGTGTAATAATTATTCAAAATAGGTGCTTGACCCTAAGAAGAAGACTAAAAAATAAAAACATACGGAGTAAATAATAATAATGAATGGTGGCCGAAAAAAGAAGGATGACGTTGACGGACAGAAAATAGTGGGACCCATTTCTAACACGGACCTTGTTTTTTGAGGAGAGAGAAAGCGCGGCTGCCCACTTTTCGTGTGGGTCCTCTAACTTTGGTCGTCGATATCTATTGCCCAAAGATTTGCTGCCCTTTTTTTTAATTTTTTTTTTCTCGCCATTTTTTTTATTTTGTTTTTTAGGCGCAGTACTCCTTGTCTCCATATTGGCATCATATTTTAATACACCCATTGTAATAAAATCAATCTACG